ATGCTACATCTACATGGATGTTAAAGTCAAATTTCAACTGGCTCCGTGATGCATTTGATCGTCTTATTATTGCTATTTCAAATTATGTTAGATTTTTATGATGTCAATGTGAAATAACAGTTATAAATCATGCATCAGATACTCCTGTACGAACGATTGATCAAGCTACAATAGTAACAATCCATAAGCAAAACTTTTGGGTCACATCTATTGATAAAAATAAATATTACCATCTCATACAATTGCTTACTGATTTACTATTATAAAAACCAATTAATATTAAAAAATACTTACCATCCAATCTTGTATAAGTAAATAGAAATGATATTTAAAATTATTAGTATAAATAACTAATGAAATAACTTGCATTATAGTTAAAGAATGTGTTACATCCAGAACTTATCTTATGTATTTTCCTTCAAAATTGGAGAATATCGATTTAATTCTAGTAATAATACTTTCAATGCAATATCAATATAGAAAATTGATGATTAAGCTGATAAAGTAATAATGTTACAAGAAAACTAAAGAATTGTTAGTAAATTGCAAGCTGATACTCTCTGATTTTATACACAGGCAATGTAAATCAATTATACATGTACCTGTGATCTGCTTCTCCTAAAAGCTAAGCCATCAGCACTTCAAATGATTTATCAAATGTTAACAGGTGATGTTTCTGCAGCTGAGAACTTAAATGAAGCAAAAGTAGATGAACATATTAAACTTGCATTAGAATTCAGAGATCCTGAAATAACTATAGATTTATGTGAATATAATTATGGAAGACCTGGTAAATATGATGCTTTCTGGGAAACTGCAGCTCAGTTTTTAGCAGGTAAAGCAGCAGATGCTGTAACTGCTGTAGATGAACGCAGATAAGACCCAATTGTGCATCTTGTAACCGCAATTTCAGTAAATGATCTTTTGTATCAAATTGAACGTGAATGCATATCCAGAATATCTATCCCAAGTGTATAATGGCTAAGATTACAATTTTGGCCTAAAAATCTAATGTGATTTAGTAGCTTACAGTTCACTAGTCGCTTGTCTCTAAAATTCATGATTCAAATACATAAATTACGGGCTGATCATTCAGATATTCACTATGCATCAATCAGTATTATTCTATTATGAAAAGGAATTTTCTGTAAAGTTTCGTAAGATTGCAAACTTTGTCTTTTTAGATGATAAATATTGATGTAAGGTTGGAGAGTCTGGATTTCCTGTTGCTGCAGTAGAGAAAGGAAAGAGGGTTGTAGTTAATAAAGATACTACATTTGCAGTTGCTGATTACGATTACACAAAAACAGGAATTATATTGAGTGTAGTGATGATATGTAATATATTTGAATCGATAAATAGTGATTTCTATATAAGAAAAGTACATATCAGATTAAAGGATCCAATCTTTCAGTCTTTCTCGCCTCTTCGTCATACAACAGAATTATATAATATACTTCTTAATGAAGAGCTCATCAATAAGCCTATTCTATATCTTTACACAGATGGCGGATCAGATTATCATTGCACATATACTCGTGTCCAGCTCTCCCATATTTGTTTTTTTCTTGCATAAGATCTTGACTATTTTGTTGCCGTTCAGATTCTGCTACAACATTCGTGGAAAAATCCTATTGAACGCATCATGTCAATTCTGAATCTTAGATTACAAGGCATTGGTTTAATGCGAACTAAAATAAATAATCAATCAGAAAAACTAATTAAAGGAACCAGAACAATGAATGAAATTCGCAAGATTGTTAAAGAAAAACCTAATTTGAAGAAAGACCTTATTGAAAGTCTTCAAGCTCTAATTCGTTTGATTCATAGTGTATTCAGCCATCAGTCTCTTAAAGATGAACCATTTGAAACATTCACTGCAGCATCGGAAACAGAAATGAAAGAATTTTGGGAAACTATTTTACTTGTGGATGATAGTATTATATGAAGACTGTATTGCTGAACATATAAAAAGAAGGGTAAGTAAAATGCTATTTGAATGAATTATCATACAAAAAAAAACTCATAAAACTTATCTTTGTTTAAAGCCATCTCTGCAAGAATTCTTAAACCATTGCTATACAACAAGACATTATTTCTTTTTAATCAAAAAATGTGGCCAATCATCTTGTATTATTTGCTGTTCTTCTTGTTGTTCACCAGAAGACTTCGAGCAACTTCATTGTCTTTCAGATCTAGTATCTAGGGATGACTTGCATTACAAGTCATTTGAAGAATTTTATGATAAGCAAATGACAGAAGATTATAGACCTTCGCTTAATAATGCTAAAATGAAAATAAAAAGGGCAAAATGAAGACTACAAGTATAAAACATACTATGCCATTTTATCTTTCTGCTACGCATGCAAAAAAAGTTAGTGTCATTGTAAATTGCTTTGAATGTGAAAGCTGCGTCTCTTATTTAGTGCAAAAAAGCTTTCAGAAAAGACAAAACGATGTTACAAGAATTCCTGAATACAATCCTTTATACCTGTGATATGTCATTCTATAATACATGTGATCTTACAAAAGCAGTGCCACCAAAATAACCAATAAATGAAAATGAACATGATAAAAATGAATCTGAAAGTTCGGAAGATGAAGGTGAAGGTAAAGGTAAAGGTGAAGATGAAGATAAAGATAAAGGTGAAGGTGAAGGTGAAGGTGAAGAAAAAGAGTTTAATAATAATATGGAAGCTGAAACTAGTAACAATGCAAAAGATGCAATACATGAACTTTTTTCAAGGGTTTTCATTAATGATTCGTGATCTTGTGCATCACAAGTAGAAAAACCATACTACTCAGCTGGAATCTATCTAGACATTTGTATTGAATGCAGAAGTTTAAATATTATTAAGCCAGCAAAAGGTGAATACGCTCATTGTAGTGGTTGTGATAATAACACTACCATTTCAAAGAAACGTCTAATGTAAAAACAAGGAGGTAAAGATAAGAAAAAACGTAGAAAAAATTAACTTCTCTTTATTATTGTATTATGTATGCTAAATGCTAGATTGTATATGAACAATAAAACATAAAAAGATCAACCCGAATATTAATCTAAATGTAAATTAAGTTTCAATTAATAGATATATTGATTACATGAAATAATATAAAGCATTATGATTGGTCAATTATCTAAAAAAAATTCTGAAATTCCATTCTATCAACCCAGCCGGGATATGAAAACTGAAAAATTTATTTTGTTCTACCTTATCTAAAATTAATTTCAAAATGAAGTTGATAATATATAAAAATAAGTTATTATTATATTTTAAAAATAAAAAAAATAAATTAAGTTGAATTATTGTTTAATTATCAATATGTTAATTTTTTGAGAAATGGTATATTATAAATCATAATTTATAAATTGATAAATTTGAAAAATTTTACATATAACATTTCATTATAATTAGCATATTATCTTTTTAAAATTTATTATTTTTTTATTTTTATAATACAGTTTATGATATTTGAAACAAAAAATAAAAATAAAAATTAATCTTTTATTTTAAATGTTTTATTAGTCAAATACATTGAATCTGAAAAAATTACTAAAATTTATCTTTTAAATTTTTATAAAAATTAATTTCATAAATTTATCAAAGTTTCAATTATAAATTTTATAATATTAAATTTTGTCTAAATAAATTAATTGCTAAGAAAATTAGATTTCAGAAATTTTTTAATAAAATTTAAATTTTTATTATATTTAATTTTTAATATTATTAGATTAAAATGCATTAAGCTTTTAATTTTAATTAAAAAATTTCTCAGAACCTGATTTTCCTAAAAATTCTTTCAAATAATATAATTCAAAGTAAAATTTACAAAAATCAATTATTATTAATTGATTTTAGACTTTGATAATTTTGAAATAATTTATAATTTAATAATACATAATCTTCAAGTATTTTAAAATCATCATTATTTTTATCATTATCATTAGATTTACTTATAATATCATCTTCTTCAATAATAATTCTAAAGATTCTTAAGGTTGATTAGCTTTTGTTTTAGGATCATCAAAAGGATTTATATTAGATTTTAATGATTTGTATACTTTCTTATATAATTTTAAGGTAAAAAGTAAAATCAAAATTCTTTTGATATTCATCATCAGATTGATTTTTATGATTTTTTAGCTGAAGTTGATGTTGATGATTTTCTTTTATCTTGAATTTTAATTTGATAAAATGTATTTCTTAATAGAAGTTATATTTAAAAAATAATTTATTTTAATTGCTATTTAAATAGTATATAAAAATTATAGATTAAAATAAATTTCTAAAGATAAATCTTTAATGTTTCTAATTATTTTATTTTATTAAGAAAAATAATTCTTTAATGTATCAATTTTAATGATTGTTTTTATTATATTACTTATATTACTTTTTTTTAATAAATTCTTCTTATAATTAAGAATCTATTATAGTATTAATAATATTATCATGAATTGATGAATCAAATAATAATCTTTTATTACAATAAATTTCGAAACTACTTGAATTTTGTTAACTTTTAACAGAAATTCTATGTATAATAAATCAGTTTTGTGTATCAATAATATTGTATGATAAAATGGGTACTGAAAAAGAAATACTGGTTTGATTAAATAAGTCTTAATTGGTATATATACAAACACATACATTTTTAACACATGATTAAAAATTGGTTAATAATGTACAAAGTTAATGAATATAATTGATAACATGGCATAATTTGAATCTATTCTCATAAGTATTATCATATAATATAAAGCTTAAAAAAAAAATCATAAGCATAATTATATTGGAATTTGTAAATAAGATTTTCGCCAATTCTGTAAGCAAATATTCTTGATAATTAATTTTGCCAATATGAACATTCGAAATGAAATATAGGCGTCTAAGCCTTTTAGGATTTGCTATTTTAATTGTGTCCTACTTGTAAAGTAATAAAAAAATCAAATTTCTTAATAAGATGAAATATTTCGATATGAAATCTTACCATAATTCAGGGAAATACAATGGTCTACTTGTATAATATGCATCTGGATGAATTTCTGGAAGAATCTTTGAATGAATATGTTTTTTAGGTAATTGAGAAATCTTTTTCCACCTTTTTTCTTCAGCAATAGAACTTTCGTCTGAAATATCCGAGGGATTAGGATCATCGCAAATTAAAGTAATCCATTCTCCTAATTTTTCATTTAAGTAAGATGCAGTTGGACGATTTTTTGGATCATTATCACAACATTGTCTCATTAATTCCGCATAAAAATTTGGAGTATCATCTGGGATCACAAGTTGTTTGCCATCACAAATATCTCTTGCTAAACTGAGATCATGTGCTCTATCACACCAAGGTCTTTTTCCAGTTGCCAGAGTATTCATAATAATGCCGAATGAATAAATATCAGAAGCGGTCTGGTAACTTTCACCGCGTAAAATTTCCGGCGCAATATATGGCAAGACCCCATATATTTGATTAGACATTTCATTTTCATAAAAGCAAGGTCCATGAAGTCCTACATCACCAATACGAGCATCTGTAGAAATTTTTTCGTCTTCAATAAGTAGGTTTCCTCCATGAAGATTTCCATGAACTTTTTTTTCGAAATGAATTCTTTCAAGACCTCCGGCAATTCCCCATAACATATCGATCATATCCCTCCATGATAGAAGTCCATAATAATCAAGGTATTGGTACAGGTTGCCGTTTTCATAATATTTCATGACTATCATAAAGTTAGACGTGGGATCCTTTGTAATCCCAAACGTTTCTGCTAATGAAGCGGATTGTATACATTTGTGATACTCTTTAACCTAAAAAAGGAAAAAAAGAAAAATTTAATTTCAAACCTATCTGATGAAGAAACAATAAAGCCCTGTGTTGATTATACAAAAATTTTTTTTAAAAAAAAATAGAGAAATATACGTAATAGACGAAGTAATATAAATATTATTATCACCTTCGCAATATAAGAGTTTGAAATGTTTTGCGAGTTGTCAAGCCTTTTTAAAGCAACATTCATAGGTCCTGAACGAGACCACTCTTGGGACCCATCGTCCCAATTCCAACGAGGTCCCTCCATCCAAATCGCTGAATATACACTACCAAACCCGCCACTTCCAATATATTTAACCAATTCGAATTTCTCGAAAGGGATAAATTCCAAATAATCACAAGTTTGGGTGGCCTCTAATTGAGTAAATTGGATCAATTGATCAATTTCTTTATTTTCTGTTGTCCAATGAATGAAATTTTCCTTCATAGCGTTGGTTTCGCATTTCTTGCAAAAGCCAAAAGATATCCGTGGTTCATCACAATCTGGACAATTTTTTAATTCACGATTAATAATTTTATTTCCTTGATAAGCAATAGGCTCGTCCATTTTTAATTCCGAAAAAAAACATTTTTGTGCATGTATTAATACATTCTCAACATCAAATCACATGATGTACTCTCTATTCGTCTTACCGCATAATTTTTTAATGCTGGTCATAATTAAAATTTTGTGGGAGATTAGATAATCACGTTACACAATATCATTCATAATCAATGAAGGAAATATAAACTCCGGTTATGAAAGGCTTTCAATAAAAAGTTGGATATCAATGTAAATGGCGAATACTTATTCAATGGGTACTATGTCATTATCTTCTTTTATCTTTGTTCAGACTTTCTAATTAGTTTTCCACAGGCTCACCATGTTTCAATCTTGAACGCGTTTTTTTTTCGATATGTCTTTGTCTTGCGATAATAGATTTGTGTTGGATCACACAAATTCAGCTTTCAATTGACAATTAGAATTATAATATTCGTATTGTTGATTCTTATATTCCTTATGTCATTTACGAGTACTTTCATCAAGAAATAAGGCTTTGTCAATTTTATGATCCTCGAAAAGTTGACGGATTATTTTCTTGTTTAATAATGTATAAAATTTTTTATTCAGAAATTACTTTATTTCGGTTTTCTACAATCAATAAATCGACAAGGGTCAAAAGAAATGATATAATTAAGGTTTTGAAAGAAACCGGATATCTTTTTCGTGAATGTTTTATGAAAGGAGAAAAAATTTAATCTTTTTATATAACTTTTACAAAAAAAGATCAACAAATCAAAGTGAGATGCTATTTTAAGCATCTCACTTTGTCAGAATGGAGAATGAATGAATATTACACTTTATTTATTTTTTTATTTATTGTTAAAAGAAAATAATTCGTTTAATATTTATATAAAAATAGAACGGAAGTTACACGTCACGTGCCAAAGTCAAAATGTTAAAATTGATCACACCTAATTAGGGTTGTTAAAGTCTTAGGTCCTAGACTTAAAGACCCGGTCTTAAGACTAAGTCTGCAGATCATTAAGTCC